CCACGTACAACAAGGGTTTCGGGTTAATACTATACATGAGTAGCTTAGTGGCGTAGTGGATAAGTGCCGCGGCCATTGAACGTTGTTGTTAGTAACTTTCACAATGGTTGGTCATGAGAATTAAAAAAATATTATCTCGAACTACTCTCTGCTTCGTTAGTCCCGGCTGCATTTGAACTCGTTAATACCTTCCAATCCGCATTGGGCCAGCGTGGAGGGTTATGGTCCTTAACCATCCATAAGGAAGGCCTGAGCCTCTGCAATGGGGACGTAACAGGACTGATGATGATGTAACCTATTGCTGAACGTAGAACTTAAATTAAAATTCTATCTATTTAATTAATGGTAAGATGTATAATCATAACCAAGAACAACAGAATTGACCTTAATTAATAGCGCAAAAAATTATAAAACATATTTGTAGAGCAACATGTAAATACAGACAGATACAAATCAAAGTCAAAATGATGACCAGGTTTAAGCCATTTTAGATTGTGACCTGGTTCCAGCCATTTTAAGAGTTTCGAAGAAGTGGAATTTGGCACGTCAAAGCTGACAACGATATTTTTGCAAAGCAATATTTTCAAAAACCCTACAGAACGACTTAAAGTGCCAATACCGGTGGCCCTTATCTAATTTCATTTAATTGTGTTAGGGATTTATGCAATTATCTAACGCTTAAAGTTGCAATCGCTTTCGGAACGAATGATTATTTGAATGACCATGATTCTTGGTCATTAAAAACTGATACAAACTATCTAAAGTTACTTTAACTTGAAGTAATATTTGCGTCTAATGCTTGGATTAAACAATTCTAATTAATTTATTAGGTTACGGACCTCCTGACGAAGCTGAAGCTTCTTTTTTTTTGTTTATTATAACCCAAGTGTAAACAATTATCGAAAAAGGTATATACCTACCGACAAACTTACCACTTAAGTTGAGACATTAACAAATCCACTGAAGACTATAACTTCAATCAATGCTTTATTCGAACCGTGGTATTATTGCGGAATTAAAAAGAATGCGCTGCGTATTCCCCTTAAACTAAAATGTTGGCTACAGTCTGAAAGACCTTTTCCTACATACTTTTGACATCCTTTGCTTTTATTCTCCACGAATTTTTCATCATTACTTGATTAAGGAACTCGATAGCACAGTATCGATATTATCTCGTGGTCTCCTTAGATAAAGATTCTTTCGAATTGTAATTAATGATATTATGGACTAAAGTTTTAAATTGCCTTTTATTTTAATAGGTTCCTTGAATTGACATATAATCTTCATGGTTTTTGAGGTTTTTGAAAGAAACTTTTTTCACATAGTTTCTATGATTTCTATCTTTTAAAAAATGTCAAACATTCGAATATCGACTTTGATTGTTTTTGGTATACAACTTAGACAAGAAAGACAGATACTGCAAAAAATCGAGTGATTTTTGAATACGAGTTCCGACGCGGAAATAACGCGGCAAAAACAGCTCGCAATATCAATGTTGCGTTTGGAGAAGAGTCTGTTAATGAACGTACCGTGTGATTTTGGTTTAAATGCTTTCGTGATGGAAACGTCGACTTGAAGAACGAGGCACGAGGAATACCACCCGGCCAGGTGAATAACGATGCATTTAGAGAGATGGTTCAAGCCGATCCTAGTCAAACTACACAGGAATTAGCGGCATGGTTTAACGTTACCTTAATATTGACTCAATTGCGTCAAATCAATAAAATAAAAAATACGAAAAATGAGTGCCTCATGATTTGACTAATCTACAAAAAGAAAACGCATGTTGAAACTTGTGTTGCCTTGTTGAATCGGTACAGAAATTAAAGAATATTGGATCGAATTGCGACATGTGACGAAAAGTGGATTCTTTATGATAACCGTAAAATAAAAATGCAATGGCTGATTCCAGGTCAAACGCCACAACAGTGTCCTAAAGCAAAACTTACCAATAAAAAGGTAATGTTAATTGTTTGGTGGTGTTATTCACTACAGTTTTCACCGATCTGGTTAAGCAATAACGGCAGATGTCTATTGTGATGAGCTCTGAACAATGTTGGCAAAACTAGCAATAAAACAGCCCCGACTCATGAATCAATGTTCACCATTATTGCTCCATGAGAACGCGAGACCTCATACAGCACGAGAAACCGTTTTGACCCTTCAGGCACTGCAGTTGAAACCATTCGTCATCCTTCGTATTCGCCAGACCTTGGACTACCGACTTTTTGTCATGACTTGAACAATTATCTACATGACAAGAAGTTTCCTAGGAGGCAGTACAAATAAACAATTTTGATTTTCAGTACAAATCGGCAATTTATTAACAACCCTATTTCACCCTTATTGCAATACTATTGTTGTCTCTCTTCCTTTCCTTCAGCCTGGAAGAAACTGCTACCAGAGATAAGGTCACTAATTGTTACGTAGATTTTGTTCCAGGTTTGCATTTGTAAATCATTTTTAAACAATCAAACGCTTTCTATTTATTCTATTCCCCCTTGCATCTTATTCACGTAAAATCGTTCGCCTATTATAGCAAACGTAGCAACGGCAACTCGTAAAACATTTTGTCTACATCCAAATGTCACATTCTCGAGTGGAGAGGTCGAGAATGAGATATTGTATGGGTGTATCCGAGTAAAGTGACGTTTGGATGAAAACAAAACGTTTTTCGAGTTTTTAATACTACGCGTGCTGGCCCATCCAATTTTCTATCTAAGGTTAGTGCAGTATCTTCAACATAATTTAAGGTGCCATATATCTATAATATTTTATAAATTAGTTACAAAACTGCTTCAAAAATACTTGTTACTGAAGCGCCATTGATTCGCCTAAATTATGCTATTCGCCGTTATTATTGCTATCTCTTTCTGCGTCCACAGGTAGTCCGAAATAAATCGGTTTAAGCGATATGGCCGCTAAATTTTATTCCGCTATATATTTGTTTAGTTTAAGATAGTTTCTGCAAATAATGTACAATAGTTAACAATAAAGAATTATCCATCTATCTCACATTGGCAGAATTAGGGCCGTGGTTGTGTGCGAGTATTGACTCGTTGACCCCCATCAGACTATACTGAGATCGCGTAGTGTGTTATGGCCCTTTTTTTGATTCTATCTATAGGGTAGGTTTATTCTTCAATAACATCAATGTGGCGATGATAGTGATAAATTGCTATTGATACAAAAAAAAAGACAAACTGACGATAGTAAATGTATTTTCACACGAACAATTTTTCACAGATAGATTACATTTGTTAAAACACTTTGGAATTTTTTGTGTGTTACTTTTAAATATACACGCAATATAGAAAATAAAATAAAATGCAAAGAGTACTGAATTATCGGTCAATAACAAACATTTCATTATGAATGCAATCAACACTCCCTACTTATCGAAGATCGTGCAAATTAATAAACAAATCACATTCGACACACCATAACAACTCATGACAGTGTTACATTCAGCGACCAGCGACTGTAGCTAACGTCTTTTGGTACTCATTGCATGACCCATCAAGAGTCAGAGGTTCATTTTGATGATTAAAGCTAATTTTCTAGTATTAATACTTTGTTCGGTAATAATAAATTCAATCATTAAACGAAAACCGAGGTTCAACGTTTAAAAATAAACCCTGACTCTTGATGTGTTAGCTATTGAAGTCAAAATACAAAGAAGGGCAGATGACCCAGCTTTGGCCATTTTTAGATTATGACATTGTTTCGACCATTAATTTTGACTAATACTATGTGCAGTCTCAGCGTGAATTTACTCCAAAGCTAAACTTAGTTTATTAATCAGCTCAATATAATAATAACCTTTTTTGAAATGTTTACAATATTTTTTATTCTACCTTTAATACCTACAATTGGGATAATAAATACTTTGATTATTTCCTGTTTTCAAACTCTGCTCGGTGAGGCTAAGACTTCAAAACGAGGTATTTGATTATTTTAAATTGTTTGTATTGACAATACTATATTGATATTTATCTTAAAGGAAAATCTTTAAAAAATTCGCCAGTGTCAGGTTCCCGAGATAGAGTGTACCTGGAACCTACGAATCTTTGTATATATGTATTTATAAATCATTTAGTTATTTCCGTTCACAATTTACAGAACCAAATGCATCAAGTTTTTACAAAGTCTATACATAAAATGATTATGCTATAAAAACTAATCACTAATGTAAAATACTTTGTATTACTTCATAAGATGACGCTTTACGAATAAACATTTTCATAAATAAATACGTGACATTAGATATTAATGCTATTGTACGATAATAACAGATTTAATATTTATAGTTTTCACGTTAATCTTTTACATTAATAGTAATCCCAAACCACAGGTACAAATTTACAATTAGGCTTTTATCTAATGCTTAATACTTACAAAAATATCACTTGCGGTCAAATTATATATAATTCTATTCTAAACTTTGATACAAAATATCAGTGGGATAGATTAAAAGTAATCTTTAATATTATTTAAATAACAATTGATTTGCAAAAAACAATTGATTTGCAAAAATCAATTGTACGAATGATTATATTTTATTAAATAACATTTTGTATTACCTGATTTAAATATTTTTCTGGCTCCTTCTAATTTGTGGATTTATATTACATTACATATTTATAACTATTTACAATAAAGCCCAGTTTATCACTACATTTCCTTAATCACGGCAGTTTAGACTCTACTTTTTGACACCATATATACTTATAAAACACCGCAGGTATAATACCGCCGACGAATGGACCAACCCAATAAACCCAGTGAATGTCCCACCTGTTAGCCCATAGTGCTGGGCCGAATGATCTTGCAGGATTCATACTGGCACCGGTCAAAGGTCCTCCCGCAAAAGATAACCCAGCTATAGTTAGAGCAAACTTCAATGGCACCGAATCCTGTTTAGTTTCATTCACTGGATCCCACACGGCACAATTCACTAGAGACAATGCTGCTGACAACACCATCTCTATACCTAATGCTTGCCATTCATTTATATTCGAATGAGGCAATGTCAAACATACGCCTTCTCCTGCCATATCGACTGGCGCAACACCGATTAAAATTCCATATCCTAAACTGGCTCCTACTAATTCAGCTACAATGTATACTACTCCAACCGACACCGATATCCTTCCAAATATAATTGCAGCTACTGTCACAAATGGATTCATATAAGCTCCAGAAAGATGACCAAATATCTGTATATTAAACATGACTGTCATACCAAAAGTCAGAGGTGTATACATAACAGGATTCATTGGCAAACCTTCAATCGGAACAGCTGACATGCATCCAAATACTATCAAGAATAACGTCGCTGTAAACTCGGCCAAAATTCCTTTCCACTGTGAAGACACCCATCTCGTTATCGATGAAGGGCTTTTCTCAATGTAGTTTCTGATAGTCTGTTGATCCTGTATCGTCATTTTACACAAATTAAAAATCAACACTCGCGATTTATAAATGTCGTGTATCTACCGTTACACAAGCTTATTGTACACTCACACTTTTACGATTGTAGGGTCATTATCTTGTGTTTCATGCACACATTGCTTCACTTTGAATTTAAATATTCTTAAAGCTTAGCAGAGGTTGACACGACCGCTTTGCAACCGGCGCTCGATCAAAATATTGATAATCTAAAACTCATCACGCGCTCAGTAATATTTACGCTCAGTTTTACCAAAAAGATCACAAATTACCTGGAATATTAAATATCGTATGAATATCAGACACCAATATATCATTGCAGATCACATAAACTGATAAAAATACAATTATCTATCACTCGACATGTTTATTGCATTTAATCCTTTTTTATGCAGTCAACGACTTGTACAAAATTATCTACATCTTTTTTTCTTTATTATTGATTATATCGTTACACTTATTTGTTATTTCTAATTTTACATTGTCATTATTATTTTATACTATAGCTTTTTCCTCATCTTCATACTTAAAGACTAACTCCATATAAAAAATCTCGATGGCATTGAAAACAACATTGTTTATAAATACCCATTGTATGCGCATTTTATATCTAGGCATTTTTCTTTTTTACACATTTACGATTCAAAACAAAGTGATCACAAATTATTTAGCAATTTTCACTTCAATAAATATACAAAGTAACAAGAACATGAAGTAATCAAAATTAATTTGAAATGACGAACGAACATCTTGACTACAAGCTAAAAACTTTACGCCTATTTGTTACCGCTGCAATGTGGTTGGCGTGGGATAAGTGTCATTTATTGCTATTGTATTAGGGACTTTATTACAAGAATATCATACCAACCTAACTGAACCATAAACTATTGAATTGTGTACCAAAATAACTAAGTGTACTTTGATATGCACCTTTTAATTTTAGGTGCATAGGTATATATTTTGGTGAGTTAAGTGATCAGCTTGCAAAGGATCCGAAACGTCTATAAAGAGGTTTTATAATATGTTATTTTTGTATTCGCAATATTATTTCAACATGCTTTCACATTTATTCTTAATCACGTGTCTCTTAAAATCTATATCTGAAAATGTTCACCTATGTCCAATACATTAAAATGATAGGCTTATAAATAAACCTTACTTAGCTTATAAATAAATATACTTACTTAGAAAGTTACTTTAGTAAAAGCAACACACATTACTTATACACAATTTTACCAACCACTTTCATAGTTTCTATCGAATGTTAAGAAAATTTACTTTTATATTACTTATTAAATAGTAACTAATATACGGTATAAGAAGGGAATTAATATATAAACACGGAATGTATTATTTATACCGAAATATTTATGTCACCGTAAGATTGTAATCATCGTCAATTTATAAACTGTCGCGATAAATAATAAATGCTTTTATTAGAAATACAAATATACTAATGATGCTAAATATTTCACGGTAACGCATAAATAAAAGCTAAAAGTTTGAGACAAAAAAATGTAAATAAAATTAATATCTAGCTATATGGTAATATTATTTACACTTTCGCGTTACATTATATTAGATTGTATGAAACGGGTATGAAAGGTTGCCTTTTCTGGATCCGGATGCTGGGTCCGTATCGCACTGTATTTACTGCAAACCAACACATACGGATAGATACCTACACGCAACGTCATATCACCATCCCCGTCATTTGCAATCCGTGGCCACTTCATTGAAGAACATGCCTTGTGCGACCCTGAACATGTAGACCAAGAGTTGGTCCATGTTCAGGAGGTACTGAAGAAAAATGGATATCAAGTGCACGGACGACAGAAGCAGCCGAGACTAAAGAGTAGTCATCCCGAGACTAAAAGACAGCCAACCTATACACCTTATATCAAAGGAGTAACGGATAAGATTGGCCACGTACTACGTGATTACTCTGTGCCGACAGTGTATGTTCCAGGCTTAAAGATAAATAACATCGTGGGAACGTGAAGGATGTTTTAGCGTTACAAACACCTAGCGTGTATAAGATTGATTGCAATTGTGGCCGTTGTTACATTGGTCAGAGGATACGAGCGATAACTGAAAGAATCCGTGAACACATCACAGCTGTATAAAACAGCAAGATAAACAAAGGTGTGACCAGACTACCATAATACGGCTGCGATACAGAATAGGGATTCTGTTAGTGTTGTATGTGACGGTACCTGGGAAAAAACTGGACGGTGGAAGTGGATTCCACTTCAGAGGAGTAGACCGAGCATCGCAGCAACAGTCAGCCCGTAACCACGGCCGGTGTAACCCGGTCAAATCGTCGGGAAATATTGGTAGGCGGAAAATCTAACTATCAATCTATCACGTTAATACCCGTTTCATACAATCTAATTTATCTATGTATTTTTATAGTTTTTCAGCATGTAAGTAAAGTGCGTGCAGCAGATAAGTGTCTGCATAGTTAAAGGCTCAAACGTGTAGAGCAGCTGACCATTTTAAGAGTAACGAGGAAGTGAATTTTGACACATCACATTTACACTATATTCTAAAATTGGAACTAATAATTGAATAAAAAATATTATTGAGAGATTTCTTCAAACTATTTATTCGTTACCAGGCACTACACAGAAGGAAGTATACAAAGACTAAACTAAACATAGATACCACTATATTATAAATTTATATACTCTTTCCAATACTCCCACTTAAATTTATAAAACAGATCTCCTATCATTAACAAAAACTTAACACATAGAACATTAAATAAACAATAACTCTCTAACCACCATCAAGTTCACATTTAAAATCATCTTAGTTTCTAAACCATTAATCAATTTTCATAACTTTATCTCTTATAGACTCAAACCTTTTAACTGGCAGGGCCTTAGTCAAGAAGTCAGCTAGTTGACATGAACTTTCAACATATTTAATTAGTATTATCTTGTTCTCGACTTTTTCTCTAATGAAGTTATACCTTATGTCAATGTGTTTGCTTCGCTTATGGAAAACAGGATTATTAATCAACTTGATAGCACTTTGATTATCTACGTGTAGAGTAATACAATATTGTGGTTCACCTATGTCTATCAAAAACTGCTTTAACCATAATATTTCCTTAGCTGCCTCGCTAGCAGCCATATATTCCGACACTGTAGTCGATAAAGCTACTGTATTCTGTTTGCGACTGGACCAAGTAACGGGTCCGCCATTCATCAAAATATGTACCCAGTTGTTGACTTTTTAGTATCCAAATCACTTGCAAAGTCAGCATCTGAGTAACCTACCAGTTCAGACTTATCATTATATACAATTGACACATCTTTAGTATTTTTTAAATAACGTAATATTCTTTTTACAGCAGTAATATGTATAGAACCAGGATTATTTACATATCTACTGACAAGATTCACCGCATATGCGATATCCGGCCTAGTTGCCGTTGACAAAAATAACAACGCTCCCACTGCCTCTCGGTATGGGAAACTTTGCGGCAACTGATTCGTACTGTTAGCTGTACATTTACATCTACAGGTGTACTACTGCCATTAGCGTCAGCCATATTAAACCTATTTAATATTGTGTCTATGTAATGTTTTTGACTAATAATTATACCTTCTTTCTTTTTATCTATTTCTAAACCGATAAAGGAGTTACACTTCAATATTTTAATCTTAAAGTTTTGTTGCAAGTCATTTAGTACTACAGATAAAATATCCTTACTTTTAGACAGCAATAATCCGTCATCTACATAAAGGATTAAAATCACCTTGTAATTGTTGAAATATCCTACAAACATACAGTGGTCAGATTGACATGACTTAAATCCATATGTAGTGAGAAAAGAACAAAACTTTTTGTTCCAACATCTAGAAGATTGCTTAAGACCGTATAGAGATTTGACCAACTTACATACTTTGTTATCCGCTGCTTCAACTTCCTCTGGTATCTCCATATATATATCCTCCAGGAGCTCTCCATATAAGAAGGCGGTCTTCACGTCAAATTGCTCTATTTGAAAACCTTCTCTGGCAGCTATACTAAGCAATAATCTAATGGAATCATACCTTGTTGTAGGTGAAAAAGTGTCTTCATAATCCAGACCTCTTACTTGAGTAAAACCCCGAGCACACAACCTTGCTTTGTACCTTTCTATTTCGCCTCTTACATTTTTCTTTATACAGAAAACCCATTTGCTTGTTATAGGCTTCTTGTCTGTTCTGTCAGTTATTATCCACGTATCATTTTCTTCTAGAGACTGAAGTTCCTCATTGATAGCTTTCTTCCATTCATCAGAATTTACACTATTTACAGCTTCTTGGTATGTATTTGGCACCTCCAACTCCGTTAAATTAGCCTCCAAAATTTTATTACGTCGTGGACGTAGTGTCATATAAGTACGTTCTTCAGTATCGTTCACAACTACGTACAGAGGATCATTTGATTCGTCATTGTCATTTACATTTCTACTATATTCATTAGAGGAATCTTTTTGAGTAATATTTTCATCTTGTTTTTCATCTTTTTTATCTAGTGTCATTTGAAGATAATTTACTCTCTTTTCAGGTATACTTTGCTCATCAAACTTAACATCTCTTGATACAGTTATTTTCTTAGTATTTTGGTCATACATTCTATAGTTTTCATGTTCATATCCAACTAAAATCATTTTATTACTTTTCTTATCTAACTTTCTTCTTTTCTCTTTTGGAATGTGAACATATCCTATGGAACCAAATACTCGAACATGTGTCATATTCGGTTTTTCACCACTCCAAAGTTCATAAGGTGACACATCCACTGTTTGACTTGAAAAGTTTCTATTTAACAGATAAACTGCACAATTAACAGCTTCAGCCCATAATTTTAATGGTAAATCTTTAGCATATAACATGGACCTTGCGCTTTCCATTATTGTACGCAACTCTCTTTCCGCTCGTCCGTTTTGCTGTGGGGTATAGGGAGCCGTGCATTCATGACTTATCCCTTTACTATCCAGAAATAACTTAAACTCTGTGTTTACGTACTCTCTGCCGTTATCTGTATGTAAAATACGAACATCATGTTGAAATCTGTTTCTCACCATAGCATTATATTTTATGAAACAATCAAGTACTTCATTCTTATGTCTCATGAAAAATATTTGCCGATAGCTCGTTGCTCCATCTTTAAATAACACAAAATACTTCATTCCTGTGACAGATGGTTCTTCAATGGGACCACAAACATCGCTATAAACGATATCACCAGGTTGTGTAGGGCTTCTTTGTGATTTCATAAATGGTAATCTAGCTTGCTTACCATATTGACAAGCTTCACAAATAAAATTCTCATTGCCAGTTAAAGTAACAGGAAGTGCTCCATTTTTACTCATTTTCTTAAGTTCATTTACATTTAAATGACATAACCTCTCATGCCACACTTTGATGTCTGTTTCTACTACATTACAGTTTTCTTGAATAATAGTCTTAATCTGTAACTCATAAAGATTATTTTCTTTTAATTGAGCACACATTATAACGACTTTGTTTTTCATTATCAATGCATTCTTATTATTCTTTGTAATTACATAACCTTTTCTAGTAACAGCTCCTTCTGAAAATAAATTTCTTCTCAACTCGGGTACATAGAGAACATCCTTCAATATACATCTTTCTCACTGTCCTTCTACTAATCTATTAATCAATACAGAACCTTTTCCATGTACAGTA